ATGTCGTCTTGGGCGACCTCGCATTTGTCCAGCAGCAGCAGGAGGAGGAGCAGCAGCAGCAGTAGCAGCAACAGGAGGAGGAGGAGGAGGAGGAGGAGTAGTAGTAGTAGTGGTAGTAGCAGCAGCAGGAGTAGTAGTAGTAGTAGTAGTAGCAGCAGCAGGAGTAGTAGTAGTACTAGTAGTAGTAGTAGTAGTAGTAGTAGTAGTAGTAGTAGGTGTTCCAGTAGTAGAAGTAGTAGAAGCAGAAGTAGTAGGTATGGGATGACACTTTGCCGGGTGCTCCATCGAGCTTCTGCCCAAGCTCCTGACCCACACTCGCAAGACTACGGTTCCGACATAAAAAAAATCTTTGACTGCTTCGAAGTCTCAAAAGCTTCTGTGAGGCATGTGCTATACGAGACTCCTTGGAGTTGGAGGATTCTTGGACGTCTATTGCGTAGACCCTGCAGATTTGGCCATCGCCTGTTACGGCGCGGCACCTGAACACGACTTCAGTCGCTTTGAGCCTCTGGGTGGCTTCCAAGGATCGGGACAAGGCACGCATGCAGCTCGAGGATGCAGCTGCCGGCAACATCCTGCTGGAGCTCATGACGGCCCCTCGGAACAAGGAAAGGGTCAGGAGCACTTTCCTCCGGGGCTGTCTGGGCAACGAGGTTTTGCTTCAGAGTGTCATTGGGAGGGTCACAGTAATTTCGCCGAGGAAGCACAGAACAACGCGGAGCTCGTAGACAGCCTCGCAGCCGAGCTTCCTGGAAGACTCATTGCAATTGCTACTCCTCTTGTGGCTCGTCAGAGAAACAGTTGATGGTTGTTCTCACGCTGCAGTGCTATTGATGACGGATGTTGACGGATGCACCTTATTTAGATCTGAGAGCATGACCAGACTGCAAGATGTCAAGCCCTTCCGATTTCCGAGATCATGTTTTTTCTCATCTTTGCCATCTACATCCTGGTTTGCTGCTGGACGGCATGTCCATGCTGCAAGTGCTGTCGCTGCTGCCGCGGGACCGGGAAGCAGGGAATGCAGAAGATGCTGAAATTCTGGTTGTGTGCTTCTTGGTTTCTTTTTTTGCATCGAGCAGGGTTTTCTGTCCTGCAGCAAGCATCCTCCTGCAAATTGCTTGGTGCCCTGTCAGAAGACAGCTTCGTGAGTAGGAGTCGAGCACGAGCCAAGCTGAAGTCTTGGCAGGAAAAGGAACATTCCCTTTATTGTGAAGCTGCTCTTCTTGCTCGTGATTCTTGACTGAGAAAGCTTCTCATCGGTTCATTCGACACGGTTCGACCCAAAGTTTCTCGACGCATTCCCGAGGATCGGAGGCGTAGTCTTGGCTCTGGTGATCTTGTCCAGCTTGTCCACACGCGGCTACTCGAGGGCCGCTATCCTGAAATCCAAAGGTGGAGCCTTTATCTCTTTGTCGTGCTTCACATGTGTGAATGTTAATTCCAATCCCTAGGCTGTGGAGGGGTTCGACGTGACAAACTGCGCTGCGGCACGAATGGCTGCTTGTCTGCAACTGGGCCTGTACTTGTTGGGCACTCTGCTCTTTTCACACAAGGTGAATGCCACCTTCCAGGGACAGAGTGATCCTTACTTCTTGGGCTTGATCCCTGTGCTGAACATCTTCGACGAGCTCGAAGGCAACCTGCGGAGGCCCTGCCCGTCGCAACTGTCGGTCGCTTGCCTCGAGGCAGCCTGGCCGAGAACTCTCAATTCATCAACGACCTCCGAGCCATTTTGCTAGACACCAAGGCAGGTGCCGGTCCGGCCACCCCGCAAACTGCCACACCCAGTAGCTCCCCGGACGGTGCAAGTGGCGTGCCTGCAGCTTTCGTCCCTGGCAAGGACATCACCGATTCCGTCACTGTTGCTACTGCACCTTGGCCTTGGTCTCTCGCTGCGACCTTCAGTGCCCTCCCCTCCCTCAGGCTGAGTCGGCGAAGCGTAGGCATTCTCCACGCTCAGCAAGTCTACGCAAGATGACGGAGTTTCTTTTGAAGCACGACGGAGACGGGAATGGGGTTTGACAGAGCCAATCTTCTAAGCAACTTGGATGTGGATGAGGATGTTCACCTAGACTCCATGAGGCCACGTTGGATATGCTCAGCGCGATGTTGAGCGACTCTCGGAACACGTTGCCGACGGGCACACTTCATGAGTGTACAGGCCTCAGCAGAGGCTTAGGGTTGCTTTTCGATCTTCTTGCGTGCATTTACTGTAGATTCTTCATTCTGTACTCTAGTGGGTCACATGGGCTCCCAGGCGCGGCCTGCGGGCCTTTGGCCTCGACGCTCAGCGATGCCTCTTGGCAGAGCAGCTGACTGCAGTATACTGCAGTCAATTCCCAGTAGCAGCATGGTGGAGTATAGTGAGGGAAACCCCCGAAGGTGAGCAGCGCTGTCTCTTCTGGCACTGCTGCTGCACTCAGCGCAGCGCGTGTTGAGGTGGACAACCAGCTCTCGGGAAGTTCCCTGGCTTGAGTTACGACGTCTCGTGCGTTGACACTACGGTGTTGCTGTGCAAGGCAGCTTGACCAGCCTTCGGAGCTCCCTGAGCACCGTGCCTCGGCGAGAAAAAAAGGTTGCGACTTGTGCCGCGCGAGTTGTGGGACTCGTTTTGACCGAAAAGCGAGTGCATTGGATGATAGATGCCCCTAAACGCCCGGAAGCCAACCGATTTCAAATTTCCAGAAAAGAGAGTAGAGGTTTCTTTGAGCCTCCATGAGGTTTGCCAGAGCTTACTCGCTGAGGGGTATGCCTGTGCATGAGATGCATGAACCCTCGCCTCCATGGCTTTTCTAGTCGCAGAGCCGCTTCCAGGCGACTGCTCCACTTGTCGAGCTGAAGACGACCATTAAGTCAAGCTTCACTCCCTTCGTGGAGGACCGTTTGTGGCTCTTTTGCCGATCCCTTGCTGCTCCTTTGCTGAACACCGGCAGTTTCGACGAGGACACTTTGATGGAAACGCTGTCTGACCAGATGAATGCCAACGGGTTTCATGGTCGCATGACGTAGTACATATATATATATATATATGAATATGTATATATATATATATACATAGACGTTATCTTCTCTGGAGCATCTGTCTGCTCATGGTAGCGCATGTCCGGCATGTCGAAGTTTAGGGCGAAGGCGGCCGTTCACTGTCTTTGGATTATGAGTGACAGCCCAAATCTTCCGGCCTGAGGACAGTGGCCAGCGTGTTCATGATTGGTTCCTGACACGGCAATTTTGTCTGCGGTGTAGAGACCGTTCCACAGTGCACTCGCCTTCGCATCCAAGGTCTGGCCTTGGCTATTGCAGCTTGCGCGATTATTGCCGTTCTGGTGTGGATGTGCTGCGACACGCGTCGCTGCTCGAGTGTTCTATGCGGCTGCTTCGTGTTTGTTACAGGCTGGCGAACCCTCTGTTCTCGTATAAGGCAGCTGACGCAGCACTGAGGAAGCGATGACAGTGGAGAACCGGTGAGCAGTCCGTGGACGTATCGATGCGCGTGCTGCACTTGGTGCTGCGGCTGCGGGTCTGCACCACAAGCGGCTGCAGTTCTTGAACAGCAGACCCCTTTAGAATTGCATGATGATCTGGATCTGTTGTCTTGGAGGTTAGATCTTCGGGGTAGACATTGGTTCCGATCAGAGAAACGTCTGAGAAACCCCTCCCTACCTTGGCACTTCCAGGCTGCTACTACACCATGTTGGCCTTCTTCCTGGGTGGTATCCTGCTGATTTTGGCCGTACCACTATCCTCCATGTGCCTGATAATGGAGGATATCAACAGCCAGCGTCCTAGTTTTCATCTCTTCTCGCCATTCCCTGCTCCTAGACAGTGTCTTTTCCGCCGTCATTCGAACATGTCGAACTTCGCTTATCGTGGTATTGAGGCGCAAGGCGAGGAAACAGAATCACTGGAGGCTCCTGTGTATGGACCAATGGCAGATGAATGATAGATGAAAGCTGCAGTCGGGCATCAACCGATGCCGCCAGCTGTTCAGAAAGAGACGAGCAAACTCTCGAGACACGAAAGAAGCACCGTGAGTGACACACATACATGGTCATACATATGTGTCTAGAGAAGGCTTGCATAAACTCGGAGAGCAGACACAGTAGACATGTGCATGAACGATTGACAGATAGACGGGACTGACTGCCTGACGGACGGACTGAATCTAACCTATGCGCGAACAAATGAAAGAAAGAAAGAATGGATGGACCAACGCATGCAATGATGAACGAATGAATCAATGAACGATTCAACCACTGAACTAGTGAAACAGGGGCAGAAATAAAGAAAGGAAGAACGACCGAACTACGTAAGCAAAGACATACGGAAAGAAACAAAGAACGCATGAATGGAATGAATCAAAGAATGAACGAACGAACTGGAGTAGAAGTGCAACAACAGGAGCGGCAACAGAAGCAGCAACGACTGCAGCTGGAACTGCAACAGTCACCTTGGAAACGAACATGCCGTGATACAAGACCGCTTCATTACTGGCAGTTGGCTCGTTAGTCTGGATCGTAGTCTGAAGTTGTGACTTTCGTGGCCGGCATGCTCCGAGCGTTCTGACGTGGTGATAAGGCCAAATGATCACGGATATCTCTGGAGCATTGGAGATTGAGATTGCTGGTCCTACCGGCCTCATGGCAAAAGCTGATGGATGAGCCGTTGCATTCCCGGGAGCATAGACTGCTTGAGGCATGCTGCGCAAGCACAAAGGTCTGCAGAAGTCTGACGTGCATCCAAGGCGACATGATGGGATCCATGATTGACCAGTGCATTCAGAACTCCACTGCCAACCCCAGGCGCCGGGCCTTCTCATACTGCGCCGTTTGAGGTGCTGTTTGGGATGTGCAGGCTCCTCGATCTCATTACGATCGAAGAGAACGGCCAGCAAGTCACCATGTACAACAAGCTGGTGGTGCAAACACAGGCATGCCTAGATTTCCGGAAAACATGCATCTCAGTCGGAACTCCGGGATATACCCTACTTAGTCCAGCTTGCAGTGACAGGCGCAGATCACGACCCAATTTGATCAGCTCGGGATGCCTGCTTCAACAGCTCAAAGACTGCCGCAGTGTTGCTTCTTTTGGCAGCGGCTTCTTTGGTGTTTCCCGCGAGACTTCGCCTCCAGCCGAATCTGAGGAACGCTCCCAGTTCGAGTCTTGCCAGTTCCACTGAGGCCTGGCGGCCCGGGAGCCCTCAGATTCCCAGGTGTCAAAGCTCTCGCAGTCAGGTTACGAAGCTGACAAATATGCTGTGGCGGCGCTCGGAGGGATGAAGCCTTTCCTGCACGGTCCCCGGGCCGGCTGCTGTCAGACTTCTTGTGACCTAGGCGGGATGTACCGTTGGATGCAATGATGCTGCCCAGCTGCACTTTTAGTCTACAGGCTCCTGGCCGTTGGCATTGGAGAACCTACGCTAATTATGGGTGCTTGACGTTGACGTGTAGCGGTTCCTGGAGTTTCAGCAAAAGAGTACGAAATATGCGAGCTGCTGGAAGTGGCACAGGTGTGCCAGATTGCTTCTCGAGCTCATGTGATCTAGGCAGACAAGCGGCTCGGTCATCCCATACTCGCTCCAGCAGTTCACAACATGCATTCCACCATCTGCGTCTTCAACCCCCAATCCCCAGAAAGCAAAGGTGTTTCCCATTGCTGCAAAGCTACAACAGGCTCTGGCTTGCTAGCTCCCAAACAGCCCTCTGTTTCGCACGACATGGCAGAAATCGACTTTGCAGGATAGGTCCGACCCACGCCTTCTCCGCCCTTCGCTTCGTCAAGCGGGCTCAAGTCTCCCAGTTGCGAGTCGCATTCAAGCCAAAACCATAGCTCCCAGCACCGAAGCCTTGCCCGTATGCTATTGCCAGCTATGCTATGCGGTGCATTGGACTAGTCTATCCAAAAAGAAGGCTGCAGTTGCAGTGCAACACGAGTTGTCGCGGTCAGTCGCGCTCCGACTTGCCCGGGGAAGTGTTCACCTGTTCCCCTAGTTCGTCCTCACTCACCAACGGTTTGCAGGGAACTGAAAAGTCGCCGAGAAGCTACCGAAACCCGAAAACTCAGAATGTTACTCAGTGAAAACAGGCACGCAATTCAACCAAGTACGTCGTGGCAACCTTGGTGCCGAGATGTGGTGTCTTTCTGCCAAGCAGTTGAAGCTCTCCAGCAGCTCGCTCTGCAGGTTTCCTCAGCAGTCGATTGCGACCGACCCCGACTACCAGGCCTCCCTTTCCCTTGGCTGAATCAGAATCCTTCTCCTTGACTGACTGTTGCGAATCGCTGCCAGCCCATGGGGGCCTCAAATCTGGCCCAATACCTTGCCTCTTCCGCTGCATGTGCCTTGGAGAGCAAGCAAAGGATCTTGCAGGAAGTTTCAGTGAGAGGGGGATTTCTGAGGCGGCAGCTTCACGGTGCCAACTGGCTACTCCCTCCCACAAGAGGGTACCACGACGAGACTTGGTTGCATGGTGCATTGCTGCGCAGTTGACATTATGACTTTCCAACAGTGAAGTCGCCAGTTGGAAAGCAAGCCCATCCCAGGGACGGCATTTCCAACTTTGCCATGGCAGTCAGCTGCTTGACAGCATCCTCAGAGTTCAGCTGTTGCAGTGCATTGCTCATAAGGTTCGGGATGCTTGGGGTTGTGAAAACAGACTCCGTCGATGCCCCAGACTCCCGCAAGGTTTGGAGGGCTGGGGGGGCATCGCTGACTACAACCCGGTCACCTGTGCGAAGCAGGTCAACCTGTGCACAGCCTCTAGGCGGCAAGGAACATTGCAATTCTGCCCTACACCACGTGGCACAGCCTTGCGCTGCCTTGTTCCTCCCCGTGCTGCCTTGCGCTGCCCTGTCCTGCCCTGCCATGCCGCCGTGCCTTGTGCTGCCTTGCACTGCCAGCCGAAGCCAGATCGGGGCGTCCTATGGTGTCGTGTGTCGTTATCTGGCATGCCTCGGCCTGGTGTATCAGGGACTTACAGCTCCTGATGCGCAGTACTGTGCCAGGGGCTCAGTGCATGAACTGCCGGATGCACTGAGTGGCAAGGCAATTCTTGTCATACTTTTATCCCAACAGCGACGAACGCAGGCGGCAACCGCCCGGTTCATGGATCTCAAGCAGGCCTTGTGCAGAAGTTTCAATGGATAGTGTATTCTGTTCTTGCTCCACTGTCCCTACAGGATCTGAGGAGTCAGAACCTTTTCACATGCCGACGCTTTAGACAGTCGGGTTCAGTTTGCGATGCCCGAGCCACAGTGAAGTGATGTTTGCGAGGGTCCAGTCGATAATTGGAACGCTTCTGCAGCACAAGGTATTCAACATGGCTCAATCCGGAAGCACTTGGACGAGTGATTGCCTGGGTGCAGCCGAAGAAGAGTACAGCTGCAACTTGGCTGTTACTTGCCGTCGACTTGCTGCCAACGTGAGCTTCTTGAGGCGACATCGACGACTTCGTCCGTCTGGTACAGGACTACGACGTCCGCCTGGCAAAGGCCCTCCACTCAGCTCCGGCCGGACCCGGACCCGACTCCGCGCAGCCGATCCCCCCGGCAAGTTTGAGATGCAGCTCAGCACGGGAGATCGACACAGCGATAGGAAGCGGGTGTTTTTTTGAAGTCGCTAGCTTGAAAATGACAAAAGCAGGTCAAAGAAAGCCAGAAAAGACTTTAGAGAACGAGCAGAAGGATAGACATGGGTCCTCAGTTGTCTGCACTGTCATACCGTGGGGGAGGGGGCGGGGGTGAAGCCTGGGTTCATTTACCTCAACCGCAAGCTTGTCGACCCTGACACCCCCCGGCTGCATGGTCCGCGGAAATAACTTCGTCAGAACTCATGCATGACCTGCATACTTGGAATCAGGCCCACTACCCAGCGCAGAACTGGCCACAGAGAACTCGAACAAGCCTTCCCTCGAACTCGGCCCAACTCTTTGGAGTGGGGTCGAGCAGCGATGGGAACGCCAGGTTCAGATGGAGTGTCTATTCATGTTGTCCTCTTTCCCTGGGCCTCTTCGACACACAATGAAGGGTTTTGCAACAGGGCAGTCTGGGGGTTCTATGAGATAACGTAGTTGTATATATTAATCTACATAAAGCAATGAACGACCTCGCATCTCGACATTCATCTCCAGCAGTGTCCAGGGTCAGTTTGCGTTGCTGTTCCAGCTCTTTCCGCAGGCAGCGTCGCAGCATACCGGTTTGTGAGGTTCCTCAAGCAATGGAGAGCAAGAAAGACAGAGAGAGAGAAAAACAATTGCCGGTTCTTGCAAGTAAACCTGAGGTGCAACATGGTGCAACACTTCTACCGAGCACTGTACGTAGCGTAAACCCAGCCCGGGGTCCAAGCCGTAAAATCCATAGCCGACTCTTTGCTGCTGCGTTAAGAGCACCGCAATAGTTTCTCCGCTCCTCCTTTTCCTTACTCGAGACAGGCCATCTTTCTTTCAGGAGCATCGTGCCGATTCGGCAGACTGCGTTCCTCATGTCTTCTTGAGGAGCACATGATTCCCCCAATCGTGTATAGCTGTATAAGCATACAGAAGAGGAACATGCGGTCGACTGGTGCAAGTGTGGTGCGAGATTCGGGGGATATGCTTTTCTTCCAGTTTATTATGTAAACCACAATCGCATCGTGCTCGCAAAGTCGGTTTCCAAACCGCGCATCAGCCGATCAGCCGATCGGCTGATCGGCTGGTCCGGGTGGTCGGGTTTAGGGTTTAGGGGTTTAGGGTTTAGGGGTTTAGGGTTTAAGGTTGATCGGTTGATCGGCTGATGGGCTGATCGGCGCATGCACGATTTTGGGCCCAAAAGCCACGCACACTGCACAATCATGACAACGACGCCGAAGACTTTCACATCCCTTGAAAACACTGTCAAGCCTGGTAGAGACAGAGCGAGAGAGATAATTACCTCCCATGTAGTCTGGCACCTGTATGCGAATGCACGGACGAACCCATGTCTCGTATTGGGTGCGACGTGCAACAGTTCTGTCTCGCAACACTACCTCTTGACTGCTTGTAGTAGCTGCCCTCGACCCGCCATCCGAGAACCTACCAGTCCAAAGCTTTCGAAAATCGCTGCAAGCGCACGGCAAGCAAATTGGGTGGGGGGCAGCGGCAGAAACTTTGCTGCAGAGTTCCTCTTCCGGGAGCGGCAAACCTCAAAGGACTCTTGAGTCAACAGGCGTGATCGTAGTCGGGCCTTGCATTTTCCTTATCACTTGATTTGGGCCTTGTGTTCTTTAAACCGAGCCGAAGAAGAGTTCTAGCAGTTTTAGACGCCGGCAAGAGCAGAAGGCCAGTTCTTCCTCGGAACTCGAGGAATCAGCGCAAACTCCTTCACCGAGGATGCAGAGGGTTTGGGCTTCCACTCATAACTTAACATGAACAACTTGCCCAACTAAATCTCTGAGGTCTTTAACCGCCTGGACACGGCTACAACGGATTCGTTCACCAAGATCCAGACCAATTTGAAGACCCTCCTGGAGCCTTGTCGCGACTTCCGGGAGATGTACGGGCTTGACTTGTCGAAGCGGTTCTAGATGACAAGTTCGCACCGCACATGCTGTGGGGGGTTGCTCAGGACCAGTACTTCCTCAGCAAAATCACAACCATTGGAAATGGCGTGACTTGTGGTTTCATGGGAGAAACCTACAAGGAGCCTTGGGTGTGTGAGATTCAGACCGGGCGGATAGGTGGTGCAAGCAAACTGTGCACTGCAGGGTGTCATTGATGGCATGTGCTATGGCGGCGTCTGGGGCGTGCAGGTGTCCCCGGCCTGCTTGTAACACAGCCGTGCTTGTGCAACATCATGGGGTGACGCACTGGTGGAAGTCTTCAGCAGTGAAAGGCCGTTTCAAGCTCCTACGCGGCTTGTGCAGTGGTGACCTTGTTGCCTGGCAGGGAATGTTTTAGAGGCTCGATTGAACTCCATGGCCTGCGCATTTTGCAGCCCTTGCAAGCCCAGGTTGCTCGTGATCATCATGTACGTTCTGTGGCGGCTGTCGCTGGACAACGTCGCTGCGGACCAGCGGCTCGCTCGGAAAGAGTCGCCCGAGGAGAGCTGATAGCGTTAGACGTCGGAGCTACGCATCCTCTGACCCGAAGAGTTCGAGTATCTTTTGATTCGCCCTCTTCCTCCATTCCTCCATGCGCCAGCAACCCCTGCTCCCGCCGAGGAAGTTGCACGGAGCTGATGCAGTTGTTCCCATTGCTGGCTGAGGAACTGAACGTGAGGTCGTCACCCCTCTGTCAGAACCAATCGTCCGACTGGTCTGGAGGGTGTTATAAGTAGCGCCGTCCTTTTTTAGATAGGCAGAAGACGGCTGGTGGCGCAGCTCCATCAGTCTGCCGGTTCATCCGGCACACGTCATGAACCTGGAAGCTCGAGCCGCATCGTGCCGACTCTTGCAGCCGCAGTGACGTGCAGTCTATCAGGTAGTCAATATTCAGCAGCAGGTTGCTAGCCAGCACGCATGGAGCGGAGCCCAGGCTGTTTCCTCACGAGCCTCTTGAGTATCAAGAACTTGGGCAGAGACCCGCGTTCCGGTCTAAAACTTGCCAAATCTGCTATATCTACTAGGCGTCACTTCACTATTCTATGCAGTTGACTTAGCTTGAAGGCAGGCCTGGCCGTCTTTTCGCAGAGGAGTAGCTTGGTTTTGCTGCATTGCAAATCCAGAAATGGCACACACGGTCCGGTCTGGTTAAAGGGAACCCAATAAGACTGACTGCAATCGTTTTTAGACCCTTCACCAGCGCAGATGCTGCTGCGAATATCGCGGCACACTGTGCGAGCAGAGGGAAGAGTGGAAGTGAACTGTCAACCGTTGTTGATTCTGAGCGAGCTTCCAAGTTGGAGTGTTTTCAAAGCATTTACTGTAATTGTTTGCTTTTCCCCTCGATCAGTTTAAAGAGAAGGCAGCTCAGCTGTGCCATTGGCACTTGGATGGGTCAAGGTGTCATGTACAGGGACCACGATCGCAAATGCGAAGCAGCCGATGACTTGCTTGGTGGTTTGTTAAACGGTGCAATGCTGGCTCGCTCCCCATACAATAGGTTGCTGGTAAGATGCCTTTCACAGCATTGCTGGCCTCCGCAGCCAGTGGCTGAGCCTTTTCAACCGGCATTTGCGATCTGCACCACCATGCGGCATCACCCCAAACTGCACAGCATTTGGCGTGAAGACATGCTGATCAAAGGTCGTTTCGTTCGCAAAGTTTACTGCATTCCAACAGCTTGCTCGACATAACACCGTTCGATGTCGCCCCACATGCCGCGGCGGTAGCTGCCAGTCCGTGGAGAACTCAAGTTTAACTGCTGGTGTGTCGGCGTGGCCACAGCAGTTGCTCAAGTCAACTTCGATGAGGTTTGAAGCCAATGGATGGCAGGGAAGGCTGGCAGCCCTCCAGAGGCTGCGACACTAGAAGCTCAGGCGGAGGCACGGCTTCACCCAGCCTTCATGGAAAGGATAGCCGATAGCTTCACCCGAATCAGAACGAGCCAGTTCATAGCTTGCCGCAAGCCGCCGCGCTCTTGAAGTGCCCGCTTCGCGGCTCTCCGGAAGGGGACCACGGGACCGGGGCCTCGCAAGAAGCCTTCTCTTGGCAGGCTTCTGGGCCCTCTGCGCTTCGCGGATCCATCTGCGTGACTGCCGCCGACAGGCATCACCGCTCATTGCCAGCCAGCTCTTTCCATCGATCCTTCAGCAGAGTGGCCTGGGCAAGGTCTTTGATCCTGTGGCGACAAGAGTGTGGAGTCTGGCAGTCCTCCGAACTGCGCAGGCGCCGCTGCTTCCGGCGTGTTGAACTTTTCAGATACCGGATGTTACAGCTTGAGGCACCACTGAGGTTTCAGGATCGTTAGGTTGCTAGCCTGAGCTTGAACCGTTTGCAGCACGAACCCACTCTAGCCTACTCTATGAAATCTCAGACTCGTGGACTCTGCCCAACATCCAAGTTTCAATCCGAAAGGACCCAAGTCCCGAAGCGCTATACCCCGAGTGTCAGGGGACCCTTCCGGGTCACGGATGTCTCGCTAAACGACTCGGCTACGCATGTGGCCTCCGTCGCCGGTACAGCAGTGACCTGGCTGCCAGTATATCAACTTCCAGCAGCTGGGGGTTTTGGAGATTCGGCTGGTGCCCAGGCATTGTGAGGTTGAGAGTTTCGGATTCATGGAACGGCGCGTCATCTCTCGGGCAGAACACAAGGGTGGCCGTAACCCACGAGCATCGCGATAATGACGCTGCTCCCAGTACCGTGTTCCAACCATTTGGGTTTTCGACGGCGGGGTTGCCTGGTATCTCGCAAAAGCTGTCTAGTCCCGCATCCGCGGAACAGCAGCGAACGAGGTTGCCGTGGATGGGCTCTCAGGGGGCGCCTCCTGGACTTGCACCTTCCCAAAGCCTGCCACGACCTCAAAGCCTGAGATTCTTTGGAAGTCTGGGCACAAGTGCTTTCAAGGGCTTTTTCCTGCTTAAGTCGTCATGTTTCTGAATCTTCTTGAATGAAGGCGATAAAGGACCCTGTCAGTCAAGTGCAGGAATTGATAGCAGTAGCATGGGACCTTTTGTTGTCAGGGTCCCGGACTCTCTACCATCGCCGAGTAAGGGGTGGTGTTTCAGATATGGGAACAGCCGCCATCGCCAAATGAGGGTCGGGTTTGCGAAATGAGCTCAACCACCATCGCGAAGCAAAGGGCCGAGTTTAAGGATCAAACCCCACCGCCGAGCGAGGTGTCGTGTTTGAGATGAGGGGATCAACTGGTCTGGCCTCATGAGGGAACGGGATCAACGGCCATCGCCTAGTGAGCGGTGGCTTCAGCACAGCGCATGACACGATCCTGCGAATTGGAGTTGCATGCCACAAGACACTAACTAATTACCCTGCAAAATGGAACTCCCCACTCGCTTGACACAGGTTCTCTTGCAATTCGGAATTTCTCAATAGCTTAACGCAAAATAGGCTCCTGTCAGGCCCCAGGCCCTCCAAAAAAGACTCGCCCAAACGCCTCAAACAATCGCGAACAAACAACTCCGCCACTTCTCGTGTCCGCCTCAGGTGCTAACAGTGGCCATTTGCCCGCAATACGCGGAGGCCGGCCCGCGACGATCCATGCAGTGAGTTGAAAGCCATCCCTGTTTGTGGGCAACTTCGTTCAGGCAGCTCCGGGCTTGCGCGTCCTCTGCTCCGGCGGCGAGGACTCGGACAGCTTCCTTAGCCGTGAAGCCTCACTCTCTCTCTCTCTCTCACTCTCTATCTCTCTCTCTCTCTCTCTCTCTCCATCTCTGCTTGCACGCCGCAGGAGGGTCGCCTTGTCCTCAGCCGCCGTGGCTCCCTCGCTGCTGAGCAGCATGAAGCCCTCTACATGACCGGGGAAGTCTCAAACCTTCAGCTTTCAGGAGACGCGGCACGCAACCCTCCACCACGGAGAGGCTGGCGGGTGACGTGTGCACTTTGACCGCCTGGTCTGCAAAAGTTCGTTCCTGCAGGGGCCGATTACAGCCATCCGCTGGCGTGGAGGGCTGGTTGCATGGGTCAACAGCAAGGGTGTGAAGGTCGTGGACGTCGAGACCTACCAAAAAGCCGCTCGGAGCTGTCAGTTCAAAGTAAGTGTGGCGTTGCGGGTTGCGTTCTGAGTTGTGTTTTGAGGTCACTTACATCGCGCGGCCTCCAGGCTCTGTGAACCTTTGCTGGCTGAGTGATGATGCTCTGCTCATCGGCGGAGACCAGGCCAGGCCCAGACTTTTGCAGAACTGACAGCAGCTGACACAAACCAACTCACGCACCCACAACAACGCAAAGGAATGGTTGCCGTTAGTATGCCTTCAATGTCTCGAGGAGTCTTCTCATTTTGTGTTCCGGTTGTTCGTTTTAGGACCGTCTCGAGACATGGCCTGATTGAAGACCTTGAATCATCTTGGATCGGTTGGGCTTGGGTTTCCGGTTTTGGTTTTGGTGGGCCCGTGTCTAAGATTGGTCTCGTTCTGGGATTCGAATTTTCGTTGTCTCCATCGTCTCCCAGAATGCGTTGGATTTTTAACCGTCGCACCTCACCTACCTGAGCAGGTTAGGATCCCAAGAAAAGATGCCATCGTTATCGGCTCGTATATGGCAAGGGCAAGCAGAAGACTGGTCATGTTTGTGCTCGTCAGGACATACTCCTGGCCGAGTTTCACTCCAAGCTGCCGGGTGAGGAAGGAAGGATTTAGCTTTTTCGTGCTGGGGTTTCTCTCGTGTCTCCTTTGAATGCACCTTGACAGTGCATCCTGGTAGATGCATCTGAGGCTCGGGGGTCCATCGGGAGTGCGCTTCGCGCGAATATCGCAGCGCTTTGCCCTCTCTGGGGACTTTGTGCATAGTTTGGCGCAGCTGGACTCTTGGCATCAGAGCTTGAAGAGTGGAGAGAAGCAGTCACGCAGAGTGACGTGGAGTTGTGGCCTTCAGCCTGCCAACCCGAGGATGCTGCTCAGCTTCCAAAATCTGGAGCCCTATGTGAAGCCTTGAGGCTGTGGCCAAAGACGACGAAGCCGACGAAGACGCCAAGCTGATTATGCACTTGCACACATGATGCAGACATTGACGTGAACTCTGCGTAACAAGAACAGAAGTGTGCCATACACACATGCCATGGCATGGCATGCATTGCACATTTTAATAAAACATAACATAACAACACAATACAACATAGACATAGCATAACATAACATTAACAGAGGCACACACACATACTACTGCATACGTACATGTCCATACATGCAACATACACATGTACATATCTATACCGGTATGTGTACGAATACATATATATATATATACACACATCCATTCATCTGCATCTGTATCTGTATTTGTACCTTAATTATGTCTACATCTATATCGTCTCGATGTATATGTCTCTATGTCTCTGTTTCTACCTCTCTATACCTCTATCTCGCTTTCTCTCTATCTCTCTATCTCTCTGTCTCTCTGTCTCTCTGTCTCTCTGTCTCTCTGTCTCTTTGTCTCTCTGTCTCTCTGTCTCTGTCCCTCTCCGCCTCCACGTGGACCACCACCTCCATCTCCATCTCGATCTCTATCTCTATCTCTACCTTCTGTCTCTATCTCTTTATTTCTCTGTCTCTGTCTCTAGCTCTATCTCTATGTCGATCTCCACGTCCACCTCCACCTATCTCCATCTCAATCTCTATCTCTTTCTTTACCTTTATCGCCATCTCCATCTCCATCTCCATCTCCATCTCCATCTCCATCTCCATCTCCATCTCCATCTCCATCTCCATCTCCATCTCCATCTCCATCTCCATCTCTCTGTCTCTGTCTCTGTCTCTGTCTCTGTCTCTGTCTCTGTCTCTGTCTCTGTCTCTGTCTCTGTCTCTGTCTCTGTCTCTGTCTCTGTCTCGGTCTCGGTCTCGGTCT